TTGAAAATTATTGCTTTAGAATGAAGGGTCTGAAAGGGTGGTATTAGACGGAAGGGTCTGAAAGGGGGTATTTCAAAGGTGTGTGAACCTAGGTGCACAGAGACAGTGGGTAGGGCTTGCTTAAGGCAAAGATCAGCCTTTTAGTAAAAAAGTTATATGTCTGGGGTGTGATTACCCACCATTACCTTTCCAGTTATGAATTTATGATTAGATTACTCTAGGAGGTTACCTTCCATAAAACCTCTTTTATTTGTCCACAGATATCAAAGTTGGAGCTCAGAGGAGAGGTCTAGATTGTTGCTAGCCATGAGAGTCACCAGCATGTAGATGCGTTTAAAAGCCATTTAGAGCCTAGCTGGTGTGGCTCAGTGGTTGAGAGTCAACACATGCCCCAGGAGGTCACTGGTTCGATTCCTAGTCAGGGCACATGCCCAGGTTTTGGGCTCGATCCCCAGTAGAGGGGCATGCAAGAGGCAGCCGATTGATGTTTCTCTGTCATTGTTGTTTCTATCTCTCCCTCTTCCTTCCTCTTTGAAACCAATAAAAACATACTCAAAACAACAACAACACACAAAAAAACCCACACCCAACCATTTAGAGATTGAATAGAGAAGGAACCATCAAAAAAGAAGAGAAGCGTCATCACTTGACATATCATGACTGAATTCACCAGGTGTCCTGAGAGGGGCAACCTAGGGACCCTAGTCACAGTCTCTTCAACTTGAAGGGTTTCTTAGGGCCTCCCTATTTGATTACCCCCTTGCCCTCCCTCCCGCCCTGCCCCAGTACTGTTTACTTTCTTCCTTTTCCTGGCTATGCAGTTTACACTGGCACCTTAAAAAGGCATTTGTGCTTGTAGACCCTTCATTTATATTTTAATATTAAATGTTCTGTCCCTGATATTTGGACTCTCTTTGAAACTTACTATATGTTATAGAGATTGCAGCAGCCCTTAATAGAGCTTAGAATGGGGCAGAGGTACATACCTGGCACACAGAAAGGGATTCCTCGACAGTAGGGTATCTGGAGGTAGAAGAGTTTTATTTGGGGAAAATTTCACAGTGTGGTTAGTGCCAGTATAAGCCACTGAAATAGTCATTCACCATGCTTCCACAGGCATATACTGATGGTCATGTCTGTGTTAGGCACTGTGCTACATGCTGAGATTTCTAAAGAATAGGATGAGGCAGTGTTATAATACACAGGTCTACTGCAAGGACTGGGCAGCTCAAAGAAGGTGCAGTGCTGAATGTGTTGGCAGAAACTTTGTTTTTCTGAAAGTAGACCCTAAGTTTCCATATCATAGCTGTGTATTTTTATTTGTTCAGGGTCTAACTATGAATGCACTTACTATTGACATGCCCTGCTATTGACCTTATTTATTTCTGGAGGCTGCTGCTTGGGACTCATTTCCCCTTTTGTCTCAAGTGGTCTGGCTCTGTGGAAGGCTTTTCCTCTCTTCAGTGCTACTGCCTACTGAAGAGTTATTCAAAATAACTGAAGACTCCATGAGACTGTTATTGCAATATCCCACTTCTGCTGCAGTCTTTGAATTGTGACTTTGGTGGATTATTTTTCCTATTCCATTCCTTCCTCTTTAAGTGGTTGATTAACAGTTTGCTTTGTGTATTTTTTATCTTTATTGAGATAGATGCATTTGTATTTATTTGTTTAGTTATTCAACAGATATGTAGTGAGCTCCTATGCATGTCAGACATAGTTGTAAACACTGAGCATATAGCTCTGATCAAAGGCAGGTAAGACTCCCTGCCTCTTAGAGCTTATTTTCTATTCTGTCTCTTCCATTCTGCCCACATGCCACTTCATCTTTGCAGCAGTGATGACCTGGGTATTCATGATGCTCTGAGTAACTTTGTTAGTGGTGTTCTCAGACCACCTTTCTTCTTTCTTTTTAAAGTTCTTACCAGGGGCACAAGTTTGGTTAGCTGTGTTATAGGTGTGTTTATCTTATCATGAGGGACACTGGCATATTTTATCAATGGTCTTCGGTGTAACCTACAGGAAATAGTTATATATTTAAAATGATCTTACCTGTGAATAACTTGTGATTTCTTCTTGACCCATCCATAAAACATACTATAACTTTGAATAGAATCAAAAGTAGATGTTGCTGTATTAAAAATTGTCATTTAAGAACATGTTGATGGTTGCTAGATGGGAGGGGGTGTTGATGGGAAGGGATGAAAAGGTGAAGAGATTAAGAAGTTCAAATTGGCAGTTACAAAATAGCCATGGGGCATGTAAAATACAGCATAGGGAATATAGTCAATATTGTAATAACTATGTATGTTGCCAGTGGGTACTAGAAATATTCGGGTGATCACTTCCTAAGTTATATAGATGTCTAATCACTGCGTTGAACACCTGAAAGTAATATAATATTGTACATTGACTGTAATTGAAAAATAACTTATTTAAAAATCATAAAAAATTATATGCCCTGGCCAGGTTGCTTAGTTGGTTAGTCATCCCAATACATCAAGGTTGTGGGTTCGATTCTTGGTCAGGGCACATACCAGAATTAACCAATTCTGGATTAACCAGAATTCCACTTATGAATGTATACATAAGTGGAACAACAAATCTCTCTCTCTCTCTCTCAAAATCATTAAAAAAAATAGACAATTGTTATTTAAACTTTTAAAAGTATCTGGTAGAATAACATTTAATCCATAACCCTGAAAATTTGAATTTATTTGAAAAAAAGTCTTCAGGAGTGAAAATTGATGTGCTCACATGGAAATATAACCTTTAAATACCCTTGTAAATTATTTTCTTACAAGATGAGGAAATTCTTTGTGGTTGTCAAGCAATACTTTCCAGATTTACTTGGTATGATTTTTATTATTAAAATCTTTGCTTTTTTCCAACTGGAAATTTGCTGAGCAGCAATGTGATATGATATCTTGGAAACATTTAATATATATATATTTTTTTTATCCTCACCCGAGGACATTTTTTGTTCAGGTAGAGTGGGAGGGAGAGAGAGGAACAGAGAGAGAGAGAGAAACATCGATGTGAAAGGAACACATCGAGTGGCTGCCACCCGCACAACCGACCAGGGCCGGGGACAAACTGCAACCGAGGTACGTGCCCTTAGCGGGAACCGAACCCAGGTCTCAGGACCGCAGGCTGACGCTCTAACCGCTGAACCAAACCGGCCAGGGCTGGAAACATTCAATATTAATTCTAATGGTCAGCAGACTTGAAATAAATACCAGCTTAGATATTTAGGCATTTTTCATCTTCCTAGGTTCTTAGCTATGAAAATCCTAATTGACAAATAAAAATCTTACTTTAGGAAATGCATGAAATAGGAGAAAGAGTGGGAATGTCATGGTATTTGGGAAAAAAGTTTACCCTAAACCATTATTATCTGATGCTGGGCACTAATTAACATGTTAAAGAGTTTTTATAGACAGGAGGAGGATTTAAGGAAAGTATCTATTAAATGATACAGCCTTAGCCTGAAGAAAAATAAATTATGCAGTGACCATTGACATGTGGTATGATTGTGTTTCCTTTGACATAGTTGGTATAACAATATTTTCTTTAATACATTCCTATTATCCCTACCAGGAATAAAAGTAGAAAAGGCCTTTATTCTGGGTAGGAGGGCAGCAGGGCAGATCTGATTGTGCATTGCCAAGACCTGAAGGCTAGGCGTTTAGCAGTGTTGATGGGGTTAGAGAGACATCTGAGGCCAGAGCAGAGAAACAGTAGGCTGTGTGTCAGTAGATATTGGAAGATTCAAGATGTCATAGGTAAGAGCCTGCCATGGAGTCTTGGGAGGAAGATGGGTTTCCAGGAAAGAAATGAGTGACCAGTGTCTCATGGCCAGAGGGCTGAAGGAAATAGCAGTAGACCTACCCTGGAAATTAGACCTTGGGTTTTGGAACACACCAGACTTCTAAGCAGCACAAAGGTTAGATGGGGCAGTGGTCAGGGTAGGCAGTAGGTGTTGAAGAGATTTGATATCAGCATAGCTATGGGTTAAAGTGAGGACCAGTGCAGAGAAAGGCACTAAATAAAATGAAGACTGGGCCTGTGGATCACAGAAGATTCAGGCAGCAGCCTTTATCTGCTCTGAATAGTGGTTTTGGAGAGGAGTTGACCCAGAAGTCTAAGATGACTGTGGGCACTGAACAGCATCAAGGTTTGAATCATAACTCTAAAGTCATAATATCTCTGAATTTCAACACTTGGGATTTCATCAAATAAAGCTTTGTATCCTTCAGATTAATGCCCAGTCAAGATGAAGAACATAGACAAAGTCCAGAGTCTAATAATAAATAGCTAACATTTATTCAGTACCCACTGTGTCGCTCAGTATTCTAAGTGCTTTACATGTGCTGATCCATTTAACCCATTTCAGGATGTGGAGATTGGCTTGCAGAGATTTTGACTTCAACAATAGGATAATAGGAATAACCAAGTCCGATGTTTCTAGGCATGGGATTCAAGTATTCTCCAAACACCTGCAGTTCTGGGTGCTAAAGATTATTGTTAGCCTTTCTCATTGTTTTATGGCCCATATTTTCTTTCATTGGCATATTTAACACAGGCCTCCATCATGTACATTCCTATGGTTTCTGTTCCTAACACCCCTTAGGGCATTTTACCAGAACACTCTCACCCTGGCTAGTAACTTTTCCTGACTTGGTGTGGCTCTTATTTATTTTGTACACACATTTGGTCACTTGAGTATATTCTTTCTTCCTTTTTTATACTTGTTTTTCAATTGTTTAATACACGTAAATTTTGCCTCTTCAACAACCCTCTTGAAGTCTCTTGCTTTTGTATCTTCCATAGAGCCATTGTCACTGTAAATAATCCAATACATTCATGTAATGTGTTCTTGACCTTCCTTTGTACCTTGATTTGATCAAGTTGTAATCAACTGTTAAGAAATGAATTATTTTTATATATTTTACTATGTATGAAATGTGACTTAAAATGTTTATTTTTCATTTTTACAGGACAAACTCAGAAAATGAACCTTTTCCAGGCAATAACAAGTGCCTTGGATAACTCATTGGCCAAAGATCCTACTGCAGGTAAACTTCCTCTGTGCTTGCTAGTGGTCGCTGTGTTGTTTCAGAAGTGAAGATTTACTGGAAGTATTTGAAGCTCAATGGTTATCGTTATATCTACCTGAAATTTATAAAAGACCTGACCAAATCATTATAGTCCAATAATCCAATCATTACATCAAAACATTTTTAATCCACTCATGAATTTGTTGTCATTTATCTCTAACATCATAAAATTTACTTTCTCCTATAGTATTGTGGTCCTAATATTATATTAACTTCTGGATTAATACCTACTGTGTACTCCTGTTTCTCTAACATCTAGAAAAAATGGAAACTACTACTTCAGTTACTTATCTATTTATAAAATCAAGATTTGATTCTGTGCATTCCTTTAGGTTATGTTGTCTTTCACCTTGTAAGATTTTTTGGGAATAACTTTATAAGTGACTTAACCTCTATCTTATCAAGTTAAATTATTAATATAAAAAGAGTTGTCCTTCTGCTGTATGTTTTCTAAATTTGATCAGCTAGCTGTACTTCATTCCTTGGATTTCCACTTGAGAATCCCTAGTTTTAAGATCAAGTGAAAAACAGAATTTTTTAGGAGGAAACAAGAATTAGACTATTGGACCTTGCTTTGTTTTGAATGCTATTTGAGAATTATTGATCTAGATAAACAGAGAAAGGTAAGTTATTTTTCTGAAGTCCACAGAGCTGGTTAGGTGCATTAATGTGACTAGAATTTAGTACTATGAATTCCCATTATTTTATTCTCTTTGCCTTACTACAAGCTACTTTCAATTTGAATGTATAGTATTCTTTTTCTTGCTCACTATGTCCCACTGTACTTGTCTCTTTTATGTTTCACACGATCTAAGTCACTTTCCTGTTTGTGACTGTTCTGTCAGCTTGAAATGCTTTGCCTTTAGCTTTTATAATCGCTGACTTGCATTGGACAATACACCATGTGTAAGAAACCACTTACCGGGCACTCAGGAGCCTGGAGTGTGCGTCATAGTTCCGCCTCTTGCTTTCTAACCTGGCAAGTTCTTTGACTACTTCTAGGGCCTCAATTTCTTCATGGCAAAATAAGATGAGATTTTAGATGAGCGGTTCTGTCTTAACTTGAGCAATTTTAATCCCCCTTTCTTCTTACATGTAACAATGCCTAGAGACACTTTTGGCTCTGTTACAACTGTGTGTGGGGGGGGCAGTTGTCATCCACTGGGTAGAGATCATAAATGTGATATGCTGCTGTATATCTATAATGCACAGAACAGGCTGCTACAAAAAAAGAGTTATTCAGTCCAAAATGTCAGTAATGTCAAAAGGGAGAAACTTTGATTTGGATCTATGGTCCATTTCTGTTTTATTAATTGTTTTGTTTTCTTTATTGATTTTAGAGAGAGTGGAAAGGAGAGGGAGAGAGAGATAGAAACATCAATGAGGGAGAACATCTACTGGCCGCCTCCTGCATGCTCGTTACTGGGGATTTGGCCCACAACCTGGGCATCAAACCGGTGATCTCTTGGTGCATGGATTGACGCTCAACCACTGAGCCACACCGGCCAGGTTGTTTTCTGATTTAAACTGTAAACATTTAAATTAGGTATTTCTCATTATTATTGTCACTTAAGGAATATCAAATAAAATGTCTTTAAACATTGTTTTTCAGTCATATTTGGTGAAGATGTTGCCTTTGGTGGAGTCTTTAGATGTACTGTTGGCTTGCGAGATAAATATGGTAAGTTAATATCTTTACATATGAACAGTGTTCATGTAGAACTTTTACTTAAAGATTCTGGGAATATAAAATATACCTGTTATATTATTGCCATATTCTTATTGTATAATGGGTTTCTTCCGAAAATAGAAGCATTAGGATCTGTCTGTATCTCTTTCTCTCTCTCTCTGTGTGTGCATCTCTGTTTGTGTGTGTATATATCTATATATCTAGAGAGAAAGGGAGAATGAGTAATAGATTTATATTAAGGAACCGACTCACACAATTGTGGGGACTGGCAAGTCTGAAATCTGTAGGACAAGTCAGCAGGCTGGAAACCCAGGCATGGTTTCTATATTGCAGTCTTGAAGCCGAATTTCTTCTTTTGTGGGAAATCTCAGTCTTTTCTCTTGAGGCCTTCAAGTGATTGGATAAGGCCCAGCCACATTATGAAGGGCAATCCTCTTTACTTAACGTGTACTGATTTAAATGTTAATCTAAGAAAATACCTTCACAGCAATAGCTAGACTGGCATTTGATTAAACAACTGGGCACCATTGTCTAACCAAGTTGATACATAAAATGAATTATTTCATTACCTTTCTACACATTCTATCCCAGCTGATGTGTGTCTTTTGCCTGACATGTGATTGATTTCTACCTCTTATTTTCACTCTTTTCATTTGACTATCAGAATGCATTGTGGCCCATCCCATCCTTCCCATTCTTGACTTTTTATGTAAGGAATGTTTCACCCTCCTCCCCCACTGTGAGGGATGCCTTTTGATACCTTTGCCCATTTATGTCTTCTCTAGTTTTAGGTAATCTGCTAAAGTTTAGAGGGGGAGTTGACATCTGTCTTTCTCCTTACCTTTGACTCTGTCCTGTAAAGCTCCTATGTGCTAGCAGAATAAGGGGTGAGGGTCTTTGAGTTATTTTTTTCTAATCATTGTTTCTTCTTATTTTGCTCTTCTCTGAATCCAAGAGACCATAGCCTGTTCTCTCTCACTTACCAGTTGTTCTTTTCTCTTCACTTTAATAACAGGCTGATTTCCTGGGTCCTGTCCCTCTGTTTTTACCTAGCTGTCTGTTTCTAACAGCTGTTTAGAGTTTGAGGTAGTTGGGCCAATCCTAACTATCTCAGATATCTCAGTTAGTTCCAGCTAACTTAGACTTCTATAAACTTTAGATTTTAAAAAGAAGTAAAAGGCTTTATACATTTTTTGTTGTTGGTAATTCTCACCCGAGGATATTTTTCTTTTTTAATCTTCACCTGAGGATATTTTTCCATTGAGTTTTTAGATAGAGTTGGGGGGGGGGGGGGAGAAAGAGAAACATCGATGTAAGACACATTGATTGGTTGCCTCCTGCATGACCCTGACCGGGGTTGGGGATCAAACCAGCAACCTAGGTACTTGACTGGGAATTGAACCCAAGACCCTTCAGTCCTCAGGCTGATGGTTGCTCTAACTGCTGAGCCAAACCAGCCAGGGCTAAAGCCTTTATACATTTGATTTAAAAAGTAATGCATATGCATTGTAGAAAATTTGGAAAATATAGAAGAGTATAAAGAAGAAGAAGAAAAATTGGCCCTGGCCAGTGTGGCTCAGTTGGTTGAGTGTTGTTCAATGCACCGAAAGGTCGCTGGTTACATTCCTGCTCAGGGCATATGCCTAGGTTTCTGGTTTACTTCCTAGTTGGGGTGCATGCAGGGCAGGAGGGAGACAACCAATCAGTGTTTCTGTCTCTCTCTTTTCCTCTCTCTAAAAATATAAATCAATAAAAACATTAAAAAAAAAAAGAAAAAGTTGTTTGTACTTCTAGAGATTGCCTAGAGAAAATCAGTGTATATAGCTTGATTTGTACACTTCTAGACTGTATTTAAATATACTTGCATGTATTAACTGATATTTAAAATATAGAATTGCACTTGTTTTTTTTCTTAGGATCTTCATCTCTGCTTACATTGCCCTTGTGTTCTTGCATGCTATCTACTCTATCTGTTAGAGCCTTTAGCATATTAAATTAATAATAGTTGTTTTAGATTTTTGGTCTGATAATTCTAAGCATCCCTATAATGTCTTCTGATGCTTGCTCTCAATGCACTGGGTGAAAGGAACTGTTATAAACAGGCCTTTAGGGATGTGGTGGCGAAGTGGGGCAGGGAGGGGAAGCATTCCATAGTCCTATGACTAGGTCTCAGTTTTTTGGTGAGCCTGTGCATCTGGACTGTGAACTTTGTAAGTGTTTCTTAATTTCTTTCCTCTTAGGTGGGACAGGATGGCTAGTGTGGGCTGGACTTGGTTATTTTCCTTCCCTCAGGTCAGTTAGCTCTGATAATACCCAGCATGCTAGGCTCTGGTTAACTAGTTTCACCTGAGGGCAGACCTTGAGAGGAGAGGGCTCTGGTGTATTTCAAAATCTTTCCTTGTCTGCTTCCCCTGCTGGGAGGGAGAGGGGATTTTTCTCCAGTGTTTACTGTGGAAACCTAGTCCAGTTCCTAGAGGTAACCCTCACAACGGGGCTTCCCCCATTGTCTCTTGGAGTTTTTAACTCTTGGACTTGTCCACACAGAGCCTCTAACAAGTCATCAGTTACAGTTCAGGTATTCCTGCCCCAGCAGTGGTTCCTTTGACAATTTCAGCTTCCCGGTCTCTGCTCCTGTAAGTGGAGATTCTCTGTATTCAGTAATCTTGGGGGCAGCAGTCTGCTCTGTGTCCTCCCATCTCTTATGGGTCTAAGAAGATTTTTCAGCCTGTCTACCTCATTGTTAGGATGAAGTGGCAACTTCTGAACTTCTTACCTGTAGAACTGGCAACCATAAATTGAATTATACTTCTGTAACTTGTGTGTGTTACATGCTGTTGAGTCAGCTCTGACTCCTGGTGACCCTATAAGTGAGTGATGTATGTCCACAATGTCCTGTCCTCAGCAGCCCTGCCCATCCCCTGTAGACTCATGCCTATGGCTTCTTTTATGCAATCATTTCATATTTTGCCTTTCTCTTTTCCTGCTGCCTCCTATTTTTACCAGCATTGTTGTCTTGACTATATCTGGTATAGCTATGTTGCTGAGCAATTTCTAGCTTTCGCCATTCCATCTTGCCTGAGCCAGTGTGTGGTAGTAGCATGCCATATGCTTGTTTAAGCTGGAGAGTCTTCTGTTGGCTCTCTGCCCAGGTTCTCATCCGTGGTGCTTCTCTTCTTGCTGTATCCATTCTGTTTGGGACATTTCATCAGTGTCACCTTTGGCTCATACATTAGCAACTTCAGAATATCTATATTCACTCTAGACCTCTGGCCTGAGCTTCAGATCTCTATATTCAATACTGTATATCACTGCACATCTTTACCTAAGTGTTCCAGTCACTTCACACTCAGCATTTCCAAACTCATATTTTCACATTCAGTTGAATTCATTATATCCACCCAGTAAACCCATGCCTCCCAGTACATTTTCTATCTCGGTGAATCTGCCATCCGTTTGGTTACCTAAGTCAGAAACCGGGGAGATCCTAGTCTCTTTCTTTTTTCTCATTCCCTACATTCAGTCAGTCCTACCTATAGTTTTATCTTCATAGTTTGTCTTGTATATGGCCTCTTTTTTCCATTCTCACTGTCTTGGAGTTTCACTTTAGATTCTTAATCACTTTTGCTTAGACAGTTTCATTCTTTGTCTTAGTAATTACCCTCCCTCCAATCCATCCCCTACCTTCTTGCCATTGTGACCATTCTAAAACACACATTTCTTGGTGAGATATACAAAAGACTTTGCCATTTGCCTCCTACCCATCCACCTGACCTCAGTCACTTTATTCTTGACTAATATTGACTTCCTGGATGTTTTCCCTAAGCCTCTATTTGTTTATTTTTTAATCTCTCTCTCTTTCCACATGCCATCTGAATCTCTCTCTCCCATCTGATTACCTGGTAAATTCCTATTTCACCTTGAGATGGGTCCTCTATAAAGCTTCCTGACCCTCAAGAAGACCCAGCTGCTGATCACTGTTCAGATTTTACATCTTGCAAGTTATATGGTAATTGTCTTTCCACCAAATCTGTGCACCAGACAATTTCTTAAAGGCAACAGGTATTTAAATTGCCTGTGTATCCCTAGCTCTTAACAGTGTCAGTGACTGTAGTGTGAATTTACCTTCTACTCTCACCAAGACAGTGGCCTATGGTCTCAGAAGGGGATTTGCTTATCTCCCTTTACTGATTTTTGGATGGTCTGATTCTCTTTCTTAAAAAATAGGTTAGAAAAGGGAGAAACTAACTCCACTGCTCTTAGAGGGTACTGCAGACTTCTGTTTATATGAGCTAATGAACAGCTTTTTTTGCTTTATTGTCAGGAACTGCTGTGAGTTTTCAGAATAGCTTTAGAACTATGATTGCAGTTGATCAGTAGGAACAATTAAGTCACCACTGCTGTTTCTAATGAGAGGGGGTGAGCTTCAGTTTTCAGAAGTGAAGAATAAAGAAAACGGCGAGGAGAAATATTATTAAAATAGAACTTTTTACATATTCAAACAATAGCACTTGTCTTTTAAAAATAATTCTTTGACCCGGGCCAGTTTTCTCAGTGGTTAGAGCATCGGCCCATGGACCAAAGATTCTCGGGTTCGATTCTGGTCAAGAGCACGTACCTCAGTTGTGGTTTGGTCCCCAGCCCTAGTCGAGGTGTACTCGAGGCAACTAGTCAATGTGTCTCTCTCACATCAATGTTTCTCTCTCTCTCTCTCTCCCCTACTCCCACTCTGTTTGAAAGTAAATGGAAAAATATCCTTGGGTGAGGGTTTGAAAAAAAAGTTCTCTGCCCTTTGGAGTGGGGATTTTTAGCTATACGGAAACAGGTCTGCTTAGTGGTTCTTTCCCAAAGTTAAAATAATTAATGAATATATTATATTGATACATTGAATGCATTGCATGAAGTGACATAGCGAAGACAGCATTAAATGACATAGCAAAGACAACGTTTTGTGAGGGATTGATTAGCTTTCTGGGCAAGGCAGTGTTGAGTGG